ATCGTAAGTGCAGTTCATAATGTTTATATTAACATATCATAAGTACACAGCTCATAACACTTATTATAACATATTTTAGGTGCAAATATTCAAGTTCATAATGTTCTTATTAGCATATAATAACGATAAAAGGTAAAAAAAAATATTCATAAAATAAACGAATAATCGAATCCCATTTCATAAGAAGTATTTTGATATATTACGGGAAAAGTAAAGTTATCGATAGTCGTATTCGTAAAATTGTTATGGAAGTCAAGACCTCCAATAAGTGAATTATTCAAAGAGATATCATCGGATGATTCGAAATCATGAGTATCACTAAGTAAAGGCATGTTATTAACTAGAGGGCAAACCATTTGTGGTTGTTCTATTTGAACTTGCGTATCAAGAAAATCAGTAAACATCGGTTCTGAAGATGTGATTCCGAGATCAAATTCATAATAATTATTTAATTCAGGTGAACTATTTCCGGAAACTGAAAGATCTGGGCTAGAAAAGAAGTCTTGTGTGTTATAGAAGTTTACCCATTCTGCAAAAACATCCAAATTTGATGATAATTCAGGCGTCAAATTTGAAGGTAATTCAGGAATTAAATTCGAGTGTAATTCAATAGTTTGATTTAAAGCGTTATCAATTTCAGGTTCAGGTGATGATATTGGAGGAGACGGTGGTTCAATAATTTGTTTATTCTCGGATTTTTGTGATTTAACCATTGGAGTTTTGCGAGAAGGTTTAGAGAATGAAATAATATTCCATTTTTCTCTTTTTTTTCTACGTTCAGATTTAGGAACAATTTCATTACGATAATCAAAAGCATCCTTTGCAAGTTGCTTATATTCATTTTTAACGATCTCTGATTCTTGCATCCAAGATTGAGATGCCATAGTGGAAATAACAGTCATTGGGAGTGAATAACCATCCTTTCTAGCTGCATCGATGAATGCTTTTCGATAAATAAGAAATGCATTAGGAGCTTTGGATGTTTTACCATTGGGAAGCAAAGTTATCAAATCATGTGGATCGATTACAGGTGGGAAAGGAGGTTTGATAAATGGTTTAAGATTGTTAATCATTTGATTTTTCACAGAAGGATCATTGGAATTGATAAAGACGCAGGTTCGTGATTTTACTTGATGGTTGTTATTAGCATTAACTGAGAAAGTAGCTTGACTTTTTTCGTTCATTTTATTAAATAAGATTATTGAGCCTTTTTTTTTTTTTTTGATTTTTGTCTCTGAACACTCCAATTTACGACAAATGACGAAAAGAAATTTCCCGGAGTATATATACTTTTTTTTTTTTCATTATTGGACGTAAACGGTCGGTTTATTTAGATAGTTGAATCCTCCTTCGAGAAGTTACGTCTCAACCAAAAGCTCACCAAATTTAATGTGTGGCGTTGTGTCACATCGCCACATCTTTCGCCAGCCACTGTAAACACTATTTTTAAATTACGTTACTCCTGTATTCCGATTGCTCCGATTGTAAGACGAGTCATAAAAAGCTAAATAATTTATTCTATTACCTCTCTTTTATGTCGCATAAGTCGAGGGTTTAAAGGTTTCAATTATTGACAGCGAAAAAAGATAATGATTTTATTTGGTTTTGTTTTTTATTTTATTTTTTTAAGCAAGAAAGGAAATGATTACAGAAAGGTACAATTCATTTCTTTCATTAAAAAATATGATTTCGTTTTCTCGATATCTAATAAATTCGTTCTTACGATCTAATAGATTTCGCATGTAGAGTTATAATATTATATTAATAATTATCGTTATCGTTATGGCAAATCACTATAAAATAGCTTACTGTATTTAGTAATTTGTGGATTTGTGAATTTGCGAATTTGTGCAAATGTCACCACGTTTTTTTTTCGGAATTATGAATGTTCTATTTAGAGTAATCTAAAATAAGTTTATTATTATCGTTATACATTTGATTAAAAATGGATTGTTATACGATATTTTTTGGGACTTTGGAGTTTATAGGCGCAGAATCTGCTGAGCATAAACTTTGAGCCGAGCATTGGAA